GGCGTATCTTCAGTGAGATCGTTTTCTGGGACACATATACAGCTAACTATGCTAATGCAACCTACGGAATTCCATCACCTTGCAGTTAGTCGTCTCCATATCACTCTCCCCAAGCCCTACCTGTCCCAGGACTGCTCTTTCAATCAAATGAGCCCCGGGGCTCGATAGGCATATTGCCTTTGTATTGGGTCATTTTTGTAATAGAGAGGTTAAGATACACGTTATTTCTGACGTGACGTGAAAGTTCAGCTCAAGGTATTTGGCTTTAATTATTAGAGAGGTTAAGATGCACGTTATTTCTGATGTGACACAAAAGTTCAGCTCGCGTGATTTGGCTCGCGCGTCGAAAAACAACGCGAGTGACCTGCAGCTCACGTCGAAATTTGGAGTTTTACGCCAAATTTGACGTGAAATTGCTCGTCACATCGGAAATAACGTGCAGACGCGAGCAATGCGTTCAACAGGCTGAACCGCAGTGTGTGCTTGCACAACATCCGTCTGCCATCACCAACACTTACCGGCATCCCTCACGGCTGTTTGTCGATGGGTAGTGTCTTCTTTCTGAGGAGGGCACCATCCAGGGAGACCCGATGGCAATGCCCATGTATGCCATTGGGCTCCTCCCACTCATGCAGAAGGCGGCGAGCAGCTCAGCGGCACAGCACATCTGGTTTGCGGAGGATTCCACAGCAGCAGGCCGTATGCGTACGCCGCGTGTATGGTGGAACACGCTCGAGGAGGAGGGCCACAAGTACGGATACGTCATCAATGGTGCCACGTCCACTCTCCTGGTGAAACCACAGTTTGTCAAAACCGCGGAGGAAGTATTCCATGGGACTACCGTCGCAATCATGCAAGATGGTTGCCGTCACCTGGATGCGGGACTGGGCACTACTGCTTTCTGCAAGCAGTCTGTTGCAGTGAAGGTCACGGAATGGCCCATGGGTGAAGGAACTGCAAGTCCTCACCAGGTACGCCCAATCGCATCCACAAGCAGCGTACACGGCGTTCACGCAAGGGCTGAAGGGCAGGTGGACATTCCTCGCTCGCACCATGCCAGAAGCGACGGAGAATTTCCAGCCACTGGAGGAGATTATCCCCGGCGAGTTTATCCCGGCGCTCACAGGACACCCCACTCCTGATCAGCCCACCCGCACTCTTCCCGCTCTGCCTTGTCGCCTAGGGACATGGGTCTAATCAACCTGTGCGATCTCGCCAGCCAGTTTGATGACTCCAGGACCATCACGCAGCCATTGGTGGAGCGGATCATCACGCAAAACACCGACCTAGGCGACGTTCACCACACCATGAAGGCAGAGAAGGCGAAGGTGCGCAGGATCCACTCCGTAAGGGAGAAGGAGACCCTGGTCGCTGTGGAAGTGAGCATCGCTTCGGACTTAAAGCGGTCCAGGGAGCTGGCGGCGGAAAAGGGTGCCTCGTCGTGGCTGACATGCAAACCACAGAAGATGTTTGGCTTCATGCTATCCAAGGGCGCATTTCACGATGCGGTTTCATTGCGATATGGCTGGCCTCTGAAGCGGTTGCCCTCTGTTTGCAGCTGTGGTAAATCATTCACCGTGGCCCATGCTCTCTCCTGCTCAACCGGCGGCTACCCTAGCCTCCGCCACAACGAGGTACGCGACCTCACAGCATCCATCATGACGGAAGTTGCGCACCAAGCTGTGGTGGAACCACTGCTAGAGCCGCTGACAGGTGAGAGGATGACGCTACGGTCGGCTTCAACTGAAGCCACCGCCCTGGCGGTGCCAGTACTAGGCAGTAGAGTCTGGGGAGGGAGGTACGAGTGTTCGTACTTTGATGTCCGGGTTTTCAACCCCCACGCCCCCACCAACGCCAAGTTTGCCGGCCTTGCCCGCTGTGTACAAGCGACATGAGCAGGAGAAGCATCGCCGCTACGAGGAACGGATCACCAACGTCGAGCACGCCTCCTTCTCACCAGTTGTCCTGTCCTGCACTGGAGGGTATGGCAAAGCTGCGACAGCACTCTATGCTCGGCTGGCATCGATGCTCGCCCACAAAAAGCAGGAGCCGTACTCTGCCACAATCTCCTACCGATCCGATGTAAGCTCAGCTTCGCCCTCATCCAAGTCAGCCTTTGGGTCATCTTAATAAAGTTATTATTATCCGTGCTGCTGTTGCCAGTCTGCGAGGCCATCGGCACTGAGTGCCCTCAAATGCAAACGACTCGGCCCGATTTGCGGTTGCCATGAGCAGTTAAACCCGTCCAAGACTCAGTTTGTCCTGCTCAGGCGACCGGGCACGGAGCTGCCACCTGGCACCGCAGTCAACTGCCGGGGCACTTCCATAGTCCCATCTGCTTACGGTCGGTACCTAGGAATACTGGTTGACGAACATCTGTCTTTCTCAACCCAAGTGGATGCAGTATGTGCAAATGTCAATAGGAAGGTCGGAGCATTTGTCCATGCAAAGCAGAATATCAGCATTTTTGGCAAACGACTTTTCTATTTATCGATCATTCAGTCCACATTTGAGTTTGGCAGCACTGCATATATTCATTGCTTATCACAAGCCCTATATGACAAGCTTCTTACTGCCAGCCGCGTAGCATTAAAGAGAATATTTTCGTTGGATAGAATGACTCCCACCACTCTTCTATACAGTCATACTAACTTGTACGCCCTTGAGAAACGCCTCAACTTCAAAACCTATGTGTTTGTTTACCGCTGCCTGAATGGACTTGCTAGTCCTCTTCTGCGAGACCGCTTTACCTTGCGCGCCCATGGTGCTCGCACTGCAGCCACCACCCGTGGCCAAGTCTCTGCTGCTCTTGTTCTGCCCCCCGCTAACACCCGATATGGCTTTAGTGCAATTTCTTATTTGGGCGCTGCCAGGTGGAATACACTTCCACCGGCTTGCCGCATGTCTAGTTCACCAGCTGAATTTCGCTCATCCATCAAATTATACCTAGGGTTCCCTGTAAAAAGGCGCTGACGCCTGTTGGGAATTCCCTAGTAAAAGAAGAATAAATAATAATAATAATTTCGAGTCAATTTCGAGTCCTGGTGGTGACAGTCAATTTTTTCTTCAGACTTTTCCCGTTTGTCTCTTTCCCTCAAACCAGTTAATATTTTATGACTTGGGGCTCCCTGCGTGCTAGTTTGTACGTGAAGTGTGTGGGTTACAGTGAGGGCTGCGTCCCACCCGCCTGTGTGGATTCACAGGAAGTGTGAGTTACGAAGTCTGAAGAAAATGTTGAAGGGCCTCTGCTGGGATGACGACTACACCATAGGTCAGTGGTTAGAGCATCGCTGGCTACAAGCGAGGGTCCCTGGTTCGAGTCCTGGTGGTGACAGTCAATTTTTTCTTCAGACTTTTCCCGTTTGTCTCTTTCCCTCAAACCAGTTAATATTTTATGACTTGGGGCTCCCTGCGTGCTAGTTTGTACGTGAAGTGTGTGGGTTACAGTGAGGGCTGCGTCCCACCCGCCTGTGTGGATTCACAGGAAGTGTGAGTTACGAAGTCTGAAGAAAATGTTGAAGGGCCTCTGCTGGGATGACGACTACACCATAGGTCAGTGGTTAGAGCATCGCTGGCTACAAGCGAGGGTCCCTGGTTCGAGTCCTGGTGGTGACAGTCAATTTTTTCTTCAGACTTTTCCCGTTTGTCTCTTTCCCTCAAACCAGTTAATATTTTATGACTTGGGGCTCCCTGCGTGCTAGTTTGTACGTGAAGTGTGTGGGTTACAGTGAGGGCTGCGTCCCACCCGCCTGTGTGGATTCACAGGAAGTGTGAGTTACGAAGTCTGAAGAAAATGTTGAAGGGCCTCTGCTGGGATGACGACTACACCATAGGTCAGTGTTAATTAGAGCATCGCTGGCTACAAGCGAGGGTCCCTGGTTCGAGTCCTGGTGGTGACAGTCAATTTTTTCTTCAGACTTTTCCCGTTTGTCTCTTTCCCTCAAACCAGTTAATATTTTATGACTTGGGGCTCCCTGCGTGCTAGTTTGTACGTGAAGTGTGTGGGTTACAGTGAGGGCTGCGTCCCACCCGCCTGTGTGGATTCACAGGAAGTGTGAGTTACGAAGTCTGAAGAAAATGTTGAAGGGCCTCTGCTGGGATGACGACTACACCATAGGTCAGTGGTTAGAGCATCGCTGGCTACAAGCGAGGGTCCCTGGTTCGAGTCCTGGTGGTGACAGTCAATTTTTTCTTCAGACTTTTCCCGTTTGTCTCTTTCCCTCAAACCAGTTAATATTTTATGACTTGGGGCTCCCTGCGTGCTAGTTTGTACGTGAAGTGTGTGGGTTACAGTGAGGGCTGCGTCCCACCCGCCTGTGTGGATTCACAGGAAGTGTGAGTTACGAAGTCTGAAGAAAATGTTGAAGGGCCTCTGCTGGGATGACGACTACACCATAGGTCAGTGGTTAGAGCATCGCTGGCTACAAGCGAGGGTCCCTGGTTCGAGTCCTGGTGGTGACAGTCAATTTTTTCTTCAGACTTTTCCCGTTTGTCTCTTTCCCTCAAACCAGTTAATAATAATAATAATAATAATAATAAGCAGCATTGGCCTCCCGAGGCTCCATACTAGACTGTTTTCACAACCATTTTGCTCGTTTTTTCTTCCTGTGCTTGTTGAGGTTGCGCTTGTAAATTAATACTAATTGTGCTGATTTTGCCCGTACAAGGCTGTGTCATACCGAGAAATAATGTGCGTCTTCACCTCTCGATTTGGCTTGTGCGGTGAAAAACAACGCGAGTGACCTGCAGCTCACATCGAAATTTGGAGTTTTACTCCAAATTTGACGTGAAATTGGGCGTCACGCCAGAAATAACGTGCACCTCTCTCTCTCTCCGTCCCCCTAGGCCCTCCCCCGATATAATAACTCGGAGATGAGGCCCGCGATCTTGACCGCACATGCCATCATGACATGATGGCATATGCGCATAATTATATAATCCGCATATATTTAGAAAAGCGATCCTGTCAGCTTTTCTATTATTGTGTTCACATCAGGGAGTCGTATAGACCCGGGAGGCGACACGAGGCCTTCCGGGCCGACTATGATTGACTCGCGGCACTTTCTCCCACTTTTCCCTCAGATATCCCCGGTGCGTGCCCTGAGTTATAAACCAACTACTCCGCGTACTTATGCCATGGGATCCGGGAGTGCACTCCTTGACTCGTGCAGGATCGATACTGATATTACTAGTATTAGTAGTAAGTGATAGGATCGTGGGAAATCGTAGCTCGAAAAGAAGAAGAAGAATGAACTACTTTTCCAAGTAATTAGTTGCATTTGATGATCGTGATGGAGGCAGAGAGTGCTGCTGATCGCGATCCAGATCCGGGTCAAGAATCACCTCCTGATCCTAAGGAAACCTCAGCTGACGTAGATCTACGTTCTCTTCGCGTGAACGCTCAGTCTGTATTGGCTTGGGCCACAGGTATGGTTTGAATTCTAATTTTCTATGTTATTATATTTTTCAATTTGTCTTGAAACTTTCAACCTTGCTACTTAGCGGCTTCTGATCTGGTGCGCGTACTGCATAAAAGTTGCGAATAATCATGAATTGGAAGAAATACTTGTGGGTTGATAGAGTGCAGTACTTGTTCAATGGTTTCTACAGAGCGTTCCGAATCCCAGCCGCTAAAGACCCACAGAAGGCAAGAAGCTTGCGTTGCATAGCTGCTGTCCCGCCTGACTGCATAGAAAGAAGACTCGTTTATGGTTGTTCTATTATTTTATTATTTATTCTTCTTTTACTAGGGAATTCCCAACAGGCGTCAGCGCCTTTTTACAGGGAACCCTAGGTATAATTTGATGGATGAGCGAAATTCAGCTGGTGAACTAGACATGCGGCAAGCCGGTGGAAGTGTATTCCACCTGGCAGCGCCCAAATAAGAAATTGCACTAAAGCCATATCGGGTGTTAGCGGGGGGCAGAACAAGAGCAGCAGAGACTTGGCCACGGGTGATGGCTGCAGTGCGAGCACCATGGGCGCGCAAGGTAAAGCGGTCTCGCAGAAGAGGACTAGCAAGTCCATTCAGGCAGCGGTAAACAAATACATAGGTTTTGAAGTTGAGGCGTTTCTCAAGGGCGTACAAGTTAGTATGACTGTATAGAAGAGTGGTGGGAGTCATTCTATCCAACGAAAATATTCTCTTTAATGCTACGCGGCTGGCAGTAAGAAGCTTGTCATATAGGGTTTGTGATAAGCAATGAATATATGCAGTGCTGCCAAACTCAAATGTGGACTGAATGATCGATAAATAGAAAAGTCGTTTGCCAAAAATGCTGATATTCTGCTTTGCATGGACAAATGCTCCGACCTTCCTATTGACAGTTGCACATACTGCATCCACTTGGGTTGAGAAAGACAGATGTTCGTCAACCAGTATTCCTAAGTACCGAGCGTAAGCAGATGGGGCTATGGAAGTGCCCCGGCAGTTGACTGCGGTGCCAGGTGGCAGCTCCTTGCCCGGTCGCCTGAGCAGGACAAACTGAGTCTTGGACGGGTTCAACACCAGTCCCTTCTGATCTAGGTAGCGATCCAGAGCGGCAAGGTCAGCACTCAGCTGTTCTACAGCCGCTGCTGACGTCCATCAGCTCTGTCCTGCTCCCAGCTGCAGATAGGCCTGGATTTCAATGAGTCGTGTCCCAACTCCGGTGTGAACGATTTCCCGACGTCAATACGAAGTGGGGTCAAGTCATGGGTGTTGCAAGGAAGCTGTCACAAGATGATCCGGTATTGAACGGTAGGTTTTGTAAAGCTGCTCTAACATTTGGATACTATAAATTATAACATTAAATTATTGCATTCACGAAGCCATGCCCAAGACGTGCGACATAGCGTGCGTTCATGTGTATGTGTGTGCGTGCGTGTGTATATTGTGTGCGTGTGTGCGCGCTTGTGTATGTCGTAAAATCCCGCCAGAGCACCCCTACCTCCGCAACCATTCGAGTAGATCCATTTGTGGAGGGGCGGATGGGCGAGTGCTGTTTGCCGCATTCAGTACTACATGAAAAAGTACTCACCCTAAGAAAACTGTGCGTGCGTCTCGTACACCCAACAAAAGTCAAGAGCTGGGAGTCGTACAAACCCATCAAAACCCTAGGGTGTGTGCGATCTCTGGTCAAGAGGATGGGAACTATTGCATACATTTCCAACCAGGTCGTAGACGCAGTACAGTACGACCTCACACTTCACATAGTCATACGAGGATACAACTCTATTGATAGATAAGATAACGTGCTTGTAGATCTCTGCCATGCCAAAGTTGCATTCAGTAGAGGTAGTAGTCTCTGTCAAACGTGTTTGCCATTGGCTCACGGCACTTGTAGCAGCTGATCGGACAATGCAAATGGACTCCCAGTCCACATTAGCTGGTTCTTGATATGCCTTCGAAAATATACCACGGCACGCACTTTCCACTGTTGTTACATAGGGCCGGACGTGTGTTGTCCTGAGCTTGCCACGATACTTTCCGATCTGTCCATCTCCTCTCTTTGTTAAGTTGGAGTTATTTGAAGAGCTGATGGCTGGTAACTTGCTGGTCAGCTGGTAGGAATACGTTTGCAAGTGTTGCTGCTGATTTGTACATTGAATTGCCGGAGTGACGTGGCCTTGAGTAGTCTTCCCCAGCAATGAAATGAAGAGTAGCATGCGTATTGAATTCTCTTGTTGCCGGTTCATCGGTCCCTCTCCATGACACCGGACTAGACTGAATTACTGGCGTCCCTTCATCGGCCTGCTTTTCGCCTCGAACTTCACGAGTTTTGAAATCTGGACCCAACATAATAAAAGTGGGACTCAATTGCGCAGTTCAGATGATAAATTGATGCAATAAGGGGTCATCGCAAAAGTGATTAGTCATCCCTGAAAAAACATCATTCATTTCGTACTCGGACCTCCTCTCCACCCTCCGAAATGAATGGACGACGAAAATCGCATGCAAGTACATGTGTATGCATAGCGTCAGTCGACTGAGATTTTAGCTCCCCCCCCCCTGGAACGATTTTCGTTTCAGGGACGACCAAAAACTTGTGTGACCACTGACTTTCTTTCTCTGTTATCAAGCAGTATGCATTATTTGTAACAGTAATTACTTGTCTGTGTCATGTGGATGCATTGTCTTATTTCCTTTTTCAGGCTACAGCACAACCAAGAGAACGAAATGTACGTCGCAATCAAGCTATGTCGTTGCCATCTTCTATGTGCCATGCGTTACCTGATGTGCCAGCCTGCTATGTCGGATGCCGCTAACCATGCATCGACTAGGCGCCAGGCGCGAACTGATGGTGGTGGTGGTGAGAAGGAGAGCTCTGTGCCAGAATAACTTTGCAGTTTAGAGAGCGTGTCTGGGCAGGCGTGTATTTACCCCCATATTGCCAGGTGTGTATTTACCACCATATGAACCAACCATACGTGCAGTTGCAGTGGAGTCTTCAACTTCATTCTCCCGAGTCAAGCTCCTTGTGAAGACATCTAAGAAGAAGATTGCCTGATGAGTCCAGCCGGGACGAGAAGTACGTCGCAATCAAGCTATGTTGTTGCTGTGTCATCTGCTATGCGCCATACGCTGCCTGATGTACCAGCCTGCTATGTCGGACACCACTCACCCTGCATCGACTAGGCGCCAGACGCGAACTGATGATGGTGGTGGTGGCGGGAAGGAGAGCTCTGTGCCAGAATAACTTTTCAGTTTAGAGAGCGTGTGTAGGCAGGTGTGTATTTACCGCCGTATGAATCAACCACAGTACGATCAGCTGACGTTATAACTTATAAGGATGATCTCGTGCAGCGATATTATGATATTTTTTAAGTCTTTTCTAAGGACTCTCCACTGCAGCGTTTTCTTTCCACTCGGTTCTCTTCTTTTCATCGCTCAGCTTGCACTTGCAATGCTTATACATACTGATCAATCCCGTTCAATTTTCCGTACATTTTTCTCAAAAGCCATAGCGCGGACGAAGTAGTGATTTTCCGTACAAATATGGAAAATACGGAAGGTTGATAGCACTGTGTTGAGGCAGCTATTGTTGACTTTATTTGGAATTAATTCTGTTGTATTTGCACACATTCCTGAGTGCATTGTATTACTATTAGCATCCAATGTGTGTTATCTGTGCGAGCTTCTAACCTTGTGAACATTCACCGAAGGTTCTGTTGGTGGCGCACAAGATCTTCCGGGATGGCTCTTGCGGGCTCTCAGCCCTGCGTTCACTGCATAAAACTTGGCAGAACAGTTCAAGTTTCAATTTAGGCCATTTCCTCACTCTGTGACTCCCAATATTTCACATGTGCAATGATTATAAGTATTGTAGATCACTGGGACAGCGCCACTTTGTTAGCCGATGTTAGTCCTGAAGAAAAATTGACTTCATTGCCCTAAAGGTGAGAAGAAATTGGGACTATTTGTGAAGGAAAACTTTGGAAAATGTAATTTCGAATAAAAGTCATTTCGTTTATCTGGATAGGTCCAATATTTCACAAATGTGCAATATAAGTATTGTAGATCACTGAGACAGGGCAATTTGGTCTGTCGAAGTTAGTCACGAGGAAAAAAATTACTTCATTGCCCTAAAGGTGAGAACAAATTGGCACTATTTGTGAAGGAAAACTTTGGAAAATGTAATTTCGAATATAAGTCATTTCGTTTATCTGGATAGGTCCAATATTTCACAAATGTGCAATATAAGTATTGTAGATCACTGGGACAGGGCAACTTGGTCTGTCGAAGTTAGTCACGAGGAAAAAAATTACTTCATTGCCCTAAAGGTGAGAAAATATTGAGGCAATTTGTAAAGAAAGGATTACCTCATCTTAGGAGGTGGTCAAAGTGCCTCAGAGTTCGAGTGGCAGTGCAAAGCCAGTGAGTAAGCCAGTGAACAAGACCCTTTATTAGTGAACTCCTCAGTGTAGTATCCCTGGCCCTACTTATAACCAACTCTTGTCCCACCGGTTACTCCTAAGTGCTTCTCCCAGCAACCACTTTAATACTTTGAAGTAGGACTACTAGACAACCCTGCCTGCAGACCGGTACGGCATGACCTGTATACATGTTGCACACATTCATGCTGTACTACATTACATTGATTCCTATAGCCCGTTCCTCATCACTAACTCTTTTGATTACTAGTTCTAAGATATCTTCCGCTTCTCTTCTTCCGCCAGATGTCTTCCCAGAATCCATGTCCTAGCTCGCACACAGTCAAATGGCGTTTCCAACCGCTGTCCTCTTAGTAACCTTCACGCCCAATTACCCTGCCTGCCATTCACATTTGTTTCCTTCATACTGTTAGATTGCATTCCTGTTACCTAATGGTTGCTCGCTACTTAGGTCCATTCTTCCTCCTACCTATTCCTTTCACGTTATCTCCTTGTACGTCTTCTCCTTGCACTACTATTTCTCCCCTTGCCATGTATATGCTGTCTATGCTATATAAGCCCTATCTGCTCTACCAGAGATCAGTTTTAGTTTAGAGCAGAACAGAACAGAGTCCCTCCTGGCAGATTGAGCCGGAGCAGTTATATTCCGTTCAGTGTCCCTCCAGGCAGATTGAGCCGGAGCAGTTGTAAACATAACTTCAGGCAGATTGAGCCGGAGAATATAATATTAGTCAGTCTTCTTGTGTGTGTGCCTCCATCCGACTACTCGGCTACCCACTACACTGGTGGCAGCGGTGGTTTAAAGTAACAGTTTATTTAGATTTGAACCCATCGATAGTTCACTCTTCCACTTATTCATCCTGCTCCGACTATGGCTCAACCCGCCGCTGCACCTGCCGCCGCCGCCGCTCCAGCACCCGTTCCCGCACGCCACGTGCATAATTGGGCCACACCGGCGAAGTATGCAGGTCGCCTGGAAGATAACTGGGCAGCCTGGTATGCCCAGTTCCAGCAGGTTTCCGCGGTCAACCAGTGGACACCGGCGGAGCAGAGCCAGTTTCTAGGCCTGTCGCTTATGGGCGACGCACAATTATATTACCAAAGTCTACCGCAGGCGGTTCGTGCGGGCCAAATTGCTCCGCTCGCCCAAGCTCTCGCCGACCGGTTTGCCCCTGCACAGCGCGCGGAGCTGCACCGCGCAGCGCTGAAAGCCAGCCGCCAAGGAAAGGGCCAAACATTGAGTGCCTTCTGCGAGGAAGTAAGGTCGACCACCAGTCGCGCATACCCGAACATGGCTGGGGCAGATAGGGACCTGCTCGCCCGGGATCAGTTTTTAGACGGCCTAGACTCCCGGGCAACCCGCATCCGGGTAAAGGAACTGCACCCTGCTACTTTGGATGCCGCACTTCAGGGAGCACTACACCAACAGGCCATAATGCATGCCGAAGCACCGGAGTCTACCCCGCTTCCCGTCTGTGGCCTGTCGGACGCCAAACAGATGGATCATATCGCCAAAGCGCTCGAAGACATCGGCGCCCGACTGGCCCGCCTGGAACGAGCGGACGCCGCCACACCGGATCAACCACGGCGCACATCTCAACACGGTACTCCGAGGAAACGAGGCGACTGTTACAATTGTGGACGCATGGGCCACTTCGCCTCTGAGTGCCGCCAACCGCGCCAATGGCAGGGAAACCAGCGTTCACAGCGGTCCTGAGTCCGTCGGCTGTGAATACTTTGCTATGGACTCACCATCCGGTTAGTTTACCTTTAGGAGCTTATCTGCTCATCCTCTTTCTCGTTCTACTTGGGCTTTCCCCTGCTTTGGATGTTGTCCGCCGTCTAGCTATGTTGGGATGTGTGTTGGTCCTGATTCTTGCGGTTATCTATCTCCTGTGCCTGACACCGCCATTTAATGTTCTCAAATCCCGAGTTACTACATTCCTTTCACGCTCCTCAGCACGCCGTCCCTTCACAGTCCCGATCACCATTCAGTCCATTCCATTTAATGCCCTCCTAGATACCGGATCTGCGGTTACCTTAGTCAGTACGAATGCTTGGTCACGTATACCTACGCATACACCTTTGCAAAAAGACACTTTACCGGATCTTGTTACGGTTGATGGGTCATCTGTCTGTGTGCATGGATCTACATGTTTGTCATTCGATATTGATGGTCGTCACCTGTCTCATAATGTTCTCGTGGGGGATGTTCAGCCTGATGTTTTGCTGGGGATTGATTTTCTTCGAACGCATGGCTGCATCCTCAATCCCGCTGATAATTCTCTCCAGTTTCCCTCCATCTCTCCACCTCCTGCTGAGCCCTACGATGTAAATGCAGAAGGAACTCGAGTATGTCATGTCCAACTCGCCCAGCCCGTCGCTATACCACCGCTCAGCCAGGTACTCCTGCCTGGCAAGCTCCAATTCTCTCCAGGTCCAGGGGCCTTTCTCTTAGAGGCATCGGGTAAGTTGCCTGAACGATATGATCTCCTATGTCAGGATGCTGCCATCCAGCTGCCGGCCGTGTCTGACGCATCTCCTGCTACTATCGCTTACCCTGTTTTCAACTTCTCCAGCGAGCCGATCACTCTTCCTCTGGGTCTGCGCATTGGCTCCGTTACGCCATGTGTGCCTGTCGACGACCTGGATTCCCCTCAGACCTGCGCCGCTACTACCCTTGCCGACGATCAACCAACTCCGCCAACTTCACTGTTCGACCTCAGCCACCTGGATAACACTGAGTGCAGTTCCGTTAAAAACCTGCTGAGTGAGTATGCTGACTGCGTTTCCAACGGCCCATTCGACACTGGCCATACTGATGTTTACACACACACCATCGATACTGCCGGATCAGCTCCTGTCCGACTAGCCCCGCGTCGCCTTCCCATCCACCAGCAACAAGAGGTTCGTGAACACATTGATAAGCTGCGCGACCATGACATTATTCGTCCGTCTACCAGTCCGTGGTCTGCACCAATCGTAGTTGTTCGAAAGCCGGACAAGTCCATCCGCCTATGTGTTGACTACCGTAAGCTAAACAATGTTACAGTGAAAGATGCGTTTCCTATGCCGCGGATCGACGATGCCATTGATACAATGACCGGCGCTCGTTACTTCACAACCATTGATCTTGCGTCCGGTTATTGGCAGGTTGGTATGGATAAGTCTGCACGGCGTAAGTCTGCCTTTGTAACGCCCTTTGGCTTTTACGAGTGGACATGCATGCCCTTTGGTCTTTGCAATGCGCCTGCTACTTTCCAGCGCCTGATGAATACTGTTCTCGGTGATCTTGTCCCGTCTATTTGCCTTGTCTATTTGGATGATATCATAGTTTTCTCCAGGACGTTCGAGGAACACCTCGAGCGATTACGCTTGGTTCTCAACCGTCTCCGTGATGCCCACCTCAAGGTCAAGCCGTCTAAATGCTCTCTAGTCAAATCATCTGTTGGCTATCTTGGCCATGTGTTCTCGGCTGATGGTGTTCGACCTGATCTCGCCAAAATCAATGCTGTCGCTACCTGGAAGCAACCTACCTCAATCACCGGGGTACGCCAGTTCCTCGGTTTTGCATCCTACTACAGGAGATTCATCCAAGACTTCGCTAAAATTGCGACGCCTCTGCATGCGCTGACAAAGAAACACTCAACGTTCTCCTGGCCACCCGCGGCACAGACTGCCTTCGATCAACTCCGCCAACACCTCATCTCAGCACCCGTCCTTGTCTATCCTGATGCCAGTACGCCCTTCATTCTGGATACAGACGCTAGTGATCATGCCATTGGCGGTGTCCTTTCGCAAATCGACCCAGATGGTGCAGAACACCCCATTGCCTATGCCAGCAAGACATTATCGTCAGGTCAGCGTAACTACACCACTACTAAACGTGAGTTGCTCGCAGTGGTTGAGTTTACACACTACTTCCGTCACTACCTACTTGGTGCCAAGTTCCTGCTTCGAACCGACCATAAAGCCTTGCTGTGGTTGTCATCCTTCAAGAACCCTGATGGCATCGTCGCCCGTTGGGTTGAACGTCTCTCGGCTTTCGACTATGACGTCCAGCATCGACCTGGTTCGCAGCACACAAATGCTGATGGCTTGTCCAGGATATGTGCATGTGTGTTGTCCTCGTCTCGTAAGTGCATGTGTGTCCCGCCGCCTGCTGCTGTGCGTACATGCGGTGTCTCTCTGTCAACAGGACCACCCACAGTTGTCTCTCCGCCAATGTCGGCTACAGTACAGTCCCCATCCTGGCTGCCTAACAA